GCCTCTCGTTTCCATTTTTCGTCTCTTTTTTTTTCTAGCCCACTCTCTGACACCAATTTGTTACGTCTCCGTTTGTTAATTGATTTTCTGTAACTTCGTTCCGACGAAACTTAAGCGACACAAGTTCTTTACTTAATAAAACTGGTTTATTCTTTCCGAATACAACTTTACCAATACACTTATTCTCAACAGTCACGTTATAACAAATTATAATAACGAACGAACGTTAACTACAACAATACGTCTCTCTCTGACTGCAGTTCGATTACTCACTCACCATACACACATTACATTCCCCTCTTTTATATACCAGCGTAACCTATTTCTAGTAAGAACTTGAACATTCGCCAAAGTACATGATAGTTCTAGAAACGTTACGTCACGGTGGTCACGTGACTCGCTGACGCAACAATATTTTACTTGATTGTACAGAAAATGCAACAGATATCAAATAACTAATATTTGTTTACTCTTATACCAAATTTCGCCCCCACGTGACTCAGCGGTGAGTCTCTGAACTTATCATGCTAAACATCGGGTTTTGATACTCGTGGTGGGTATAGCACATATAGCTCATTATGTAACTTTGTGATTAACAACAACATATAAAAATTAACACAAGTCTAAAATACCGGTCGATGACGTAGAAAAGTACATTATTTTCCAGAATTTTTTTATTGCATTTTATGCTTATTATTTCTACATTTAGTCTTCTTCTGGAGTTTGCATATAGGATACAAATAAAACTGAAATATCTCATAAATGCGTGTCATAAGTTATGTTTTTGACCAAGACCTTTCTGTATTGCATGCCCAGCTGACCTGATGAGCTCTGATAGCAAAAGGCTTCGTCAGCAGCGGATTGCGCGTGTGGTTGAAATACTATATGTTTTTCTTACAGAAAAACCATACACGGCTAGCAAAGAAAGACGTGTTAAAAGCTATTACCAATCTTTATTGTGATATAACGTTCCACAAACTACCGGTCTATAGATTACGCTTCGCCAGCATAGGTGTTATATAACATAAAACTTAAATACGTTCTAACAAAGATAAAATGCCATGAGTGGTGAAATATATTCTTGTAAGATGGCACGAGATAAATCGTTATACGTCGCTTCAATTTAACGAAGTATTGTTGGGAGGAAAATAATTTCTAAACTGATTAAAATAGAAATAAGTTCTAAAAACGTTAGAGAACTAGATAAATTGATGTATGTTGTCAATTGTTAGTTTAACTCCCTATTTTGACTCTCCTAAATATTACAGCTTTTAGACATGGAGTCAGAATAGGGATTTGTAGCTTGAGGAAATAATGTCAACACTGTCTCAAACTAAGTTTGTTTGTTTACTTTTTTGGCGATTGCATTTTCATTTTAAGCTACCTATTTTGTCTCTGTATTTTTTGAAGATCCATATTCTATCTTTTTAAATTAACAATTTTTAATAATCTTGTTTCTTTAGTTTTTTTATGTTCATTATGGACATAAATCTGTATAATAGTAATACTTTCCTACTTGAAACAGTTTAGTTTCATGAAATACGTAGTTGACGTATGATGATCTCTCGGGAAACGATGACAATCTATGGATTGGCTTCATGTAGATTGGATGGCTATTGCTCCTGATATCATTAATAGTGGTACTACATGTATGATTACCTTGATGCATGGTGATCAGCATACCACATGTTATGCATATGCTTGCAACATATATTATAGCTACTATATATATACCTTGTAACTATATGGGGAGTATGTAGACATTGGACTGGAGGGACTATTGAACTATACTTGAATGGTGCATGGACTGTATTTTGTTACCGCATGAGTTTTATACATGCATGCACATGCAATGCTTATTGGCTAGTATCTATATATACATGTAGGGTCTATATTTCTTCTAAGTTATAAATCCGCATATATAAATAGTCATATGAAACACTAAAGTTGCATAGATGCATGCATGCATATATATATATAATGCAAATATAAGACAATGTGTCATAATAGAATATGTATACAAATAAGCATTTTAATATTTCTTATAGTTGTTATATTTCCCCCTCCTCTTCCTCTCCGCTGGCCACAGTAAGGCCGGTCACGGTTTTGGTGCAGCTGGCCAGATTTTCTCTTATAGTGACATTCTACACACTTTACAATGTCAAAAACATGTTAATTAACAATTATGAATTGATTGTATTAATATACCCCCCTCCATTTCCGATGGAGTCTGGGTCATGGCACTTCTACGACCCTCTTCCACTGTGAAGATCCTAAACTCTGGTGCACAGTCACTGCAGCATACTTTATCTGAAACGAAATATTTTCTAAATAAAACATATAGTTAAAAAATTTCTGCCTCATTTTCGCCTAGAATCACCACTGTTTTCGCCATCTCCTGATTTCACGATTCTTGCCACTCCTTATTGTCAGCTTCAAGGATGGCTACTCTATCTTCAGCATCTATAAATGTAAGGTTTTACGTATGGGTGGTTGAGCAGGATTTTTTACAGAAATTGTCTGTTTATTGTGGGCGATAAAGTTCAATAATAAACAAACATCACACAGTCCACTCGTTTTAAAATAATCTATCAAAACAAGTCAAACATATATACAAATATTCGTTACACAGTTAATCACCACATTTGTATCCAGAGCTTTAAATAATCGTCTATTTTCAAAGTCCACACAGGTTGGTTCAATTACTTTAGAACACAATTGACAAGACAAATTATCTCTTCTCTACTTTGTTGTTACAATACAATCTGTGATAATTTCACTTTAGAAATCACCACTATACGCTCTTATAGTTAAACGTACAATAACACTAAATTTGAAACAACGAGAAAACTAAGAAGTTTCTAGTAACATGATGCAATAACAGAAGCGCCAAATCACAGCATTGGAATATACAACGTATAATTCGTACACAGGTATGTAAACAAACTTGCAATAAACTATCGTTTCTAAAAATAACAAGAATTTAACACCCTCGCTACACATAAATTAAAACAGTCGTGTATAACTAACAATAAAATTTGCAATCACTCAGTGTTGACTATAATTCGACACTTACCATCAGCCCTCACTGTGATTGCTGATCCGATGCTCGAAACTGAGCTTGGTGCAAGGCGATATATCAGTCATATATATTTCAGTCATATTCACATGAATTGATATATTTATAATTTAATTAATATCTAGTAGAT